AGAGAGAGAGAGAGAGAGAGAGAGAGAGAGAGAGAGAGATGGACCCCAGTCTCAGCCCACATTCTCCAGGACCCTCAGAACGGCTACGTCAGAGGGCACGGGAGCTGTCACCTTCTCTATCACTGCTGTGCCTGCATGCAGGGTTACAGAGCTGTGGCTTGAGTGTGGAAAAACATAACAAATGACTTTGGGTGACCCAGAAACCAGGATTTTTGTGTGTGTTTTGTTTTATTTGAGACAGAGTCTCCCTACGTAGTCCAGGCTGGCCTTGAACTCATGGTGATCCTCCTGCTTCTCTCCCTACCCCTACTCGGACCACACTGTAGATGATGTCAGTCACCTGGACACCAGTGAGCCCTGGGCAAAGGTGACCTTGGAGAAGACCTTGCCTGCTCCCCTGGGATATGAGGCGGAGAGTAACAAGGAAACCACATATAAGCAAGAAACTGGTGAGATCTGTGAGCAAAAACCAAAATAGGGTGCCTGGGCATACAAAGTGTCACGTCTGGGAAGGTTGGCTGGTCTGAACTGGGCACCAGGGCAGGTGTCCCTGGTGGGGGATGGTGTGGCTAAGCCTCAAAGAAGAAGGAGCCCACTATACAAAGATCTGAAAAGAATGTTCTGTAAAGAGGGCTGCAAGTGCAAAGGCCTTGAGGCTGGAGTCTACCAACCCTGCTGAGACTTTTAATAAAATAACCTGAAGGGCAGGAGCTTTTTGCCAAGGAAACAAAATAATCCAGACATCTTCACCCCTTCATCTGTGATCTTTCTCACCACCTCTAAGTCCTGCTGGATCCCTACTCAGTTTACCTCTTCTGCCCAGAAACCTTCAGGCTCTACTAGTTCGTGGTTTATGAAAAGTGGCCCATGGAGGCTGGGCAGTGGTATGAGGAAGCCCGGGCCATCAGCCCCACCCATGTGGCTTTGTGGGCCAGAGGCCAGAGGCCTCACAGTGCCATTCGTCATGCCCCCCGCATCCGGCTCTACAGGCTGAGTGTGCCCGGCCTAGGCCATCGGGGGTCATCGTCCCCAGGGGACAAATCTGCCACACTGAGGCCCTGGATGCCTGGCCACAGTGGACTCAGTGAGCCAACCTCAAGTCACAGTTCTCTCCTGTGTATCTCCTTTTTTTTGCCAGCTCAGTGATAGTTTCTGACTCTACTGTCCATGTTCAAAATGGATTATGTGCCATACTTGGCTAGCTGACATCTGAGTTTTAATTAACATGATTATGGAATTCACCAGCAAAGTTAGAATATATTCAAAGTTAAAATTCAGTGGCAGCTGGGTGTGGTGGCACATGCCCAGAACTGCAGAGGCTGAGACAGGAGAATTGCCATGAGTTTGAGACCAGCTAGGCTACATAGTGAGTTCAAAGCCAGCCTGGACTACAAAGTGAGACCGTGTCTCAAAAAGAAAAAAAATCGGGCTGGTGATTTAGCTCAGTGGTACCGCTGCCTGCTTTGCAAGCCCAAGGTCCTGAGTTCAATCCCTGGCACCAAAAAAGAAAAAAATTCAATGGCAGAAGAGATTATTATTGTTAAGACAAGGTCTCAGTATGTAATTCAGGCTGGCCTTGAACTCACAGCAATCCTCTTGCCTCAGCCTGCTGCATGCTGGAATTACAGGTGTGTGCCACCATGCCCTGGTTTGGAATGGATTATTTTTTTATCAGAGCTGTAAAGAAAGCAATTGTCCTGTCCTGTGTCCCCACTATCATGCCACACTGTGGCCCAGAAGCCAAATATGAATCTTCTGCTTGCCATTCATACCAGTCCATTCCGAGGACTCCAGCTGACAATTTCCCCATTTTCTTGCCCATAATTGTACCATGTAATGAGTTACTAATTCTCCTCACTTAGAACAACCCCTGAGCCCAAGAATATGTACATTTTACCAATGTAGGTCACATGAGAGATTTATGTTCCAATAAACTGGCTCGTGACAAAGAGCTTGATCAACAAACTGCCCGAAGTAGCCATCTGTGTTCGAGATACATTGTTACTTGTTTAAACACTGCTTGACACATGCCCTATTCCACCACCTTTTGCAAATCTCTCGCTTTCTGCGGGGGCTTTTCACTGGTCTATGAAATCCCGGAGTCTGGGGGACCCGAGAATCAGCAGACACCCCCTTGCTCCCAGATGGCGTCCTGGCCCCTCTTCCCACAGCACGTTCTCTGGGGACACCCTGCCTGGCGCCCAGCCAGGCCAAGCCTGCGCCCGCGCCCGGAAGAAGCTGTTGAAGAGACTTAGAGTGGTTTATAATGCATACACGACATTCACCTCGGATGAACCTCAGAGCACGCGAGGGAAGCCAGCCAGCGGGAAGGAAAGACTCAGGTGCAGGCCGGGTTCAGCAGCCGCCTCCCTCCTGCGGGTGCGCAGGGAGGCCCGGAGTCCTGCAGCCCGGCCTCGGGCCTCGGTCCTTGTGTGCCTGAGCCGTGGCTTCCCGAGTGACCCCGGGACGGCCGCGCTTCCCCTGGGGTGCTCGAGTAGGACAATGGCAGTGGGTGCGGCGCACAGGGGGAGCCCGCCTGTGAACGCGGTCCTCTCGGCCCTCGCGCCAGTCCCCCATCAGCGCACGGAATCCCGCCTCTGCTTCTCCCGGCGGCCCTGTCCAGCGAGCGGCCCCTGGGGCCCCGGGCGACGACCCGGGGTCGCGCCCCCGCCTCCTGTGCTCCCGGAGCCCCTTCGGTTCGCTTCTTCAGAGCAGGCCCCGAGTCCCTTTGGGGAGCTGGGTGGGTGTGAAGAGACTGATGAAAAGGTTAGGGGACATTTTTGGCTCCCACTTCCGAGTCTTGCAGAATCTTTTATTTTTTATTTCTCTTGCCTACCTAATAATTTTTAAAAGCCATGTCACAGCGACGTAGCTCGTCTTCTTCTCATCCGCCCACGGCAGCCAGCCCAGGACTCGGCGAGGCGCGCGGGGTGGGATGGGGGGCGCTCGGCCGGCGGCCCCGCTCGCCCTGCAGGGGGCGTCACCACCACTCCCCCCCCCCCCCCCCCCGCCGCTTCTCCCGGCCCCCGGCGCCCTGCGCGTCCCTGCCCCCCGCGCCACCGGCGGGAGGGCGTGGCCGGGCCTCGCTGATGTAATCCCGCGCCCGGGCGGAAGGATATGGAACGCGGGCTGGTTGGCGGGGCGCTGAGGCCAGTTGCCGGGTAACGGAGCGGAGCAGCCACGGAGCACCGCCTCCCGCCCTCCGCCGAGTGGCGCCGGGGCCGCAGCCGCTTTACGTCAGGCGCAGGCCAGGGCCGCCCGGCGCTCGGCAGCCGCCCGCAGCCCCGAGCGCGAGCTGAGGCGCCCGCCCGCGCCGCCCGGCAGCCTGGGCAGGTAAGGGGGGGGGCGCGGGGCGAGAGGGGGCCCGCGGGGGCGGGGGGCGGGCCGGTGGGCTCCGGGCGGCCTGAGAGAGGCTGGGGCGAGCCCCGCGCAGACCCGGGCGGCCTGGAGCCCCGGCCTGGGCCCGCGTGAGGCTCGGCGCAGGGCGGCCGGCGTCTCGGCTTCCCCGAGGCCTCGCGCTGGCCATGAGTGTGCACAATGGGCCGCCCGTGCCATGCCGGCCGGGTCCTGCTTGGGCGCCGCTGGTGCGCGACACCGGGGGCGGCCGTGGGGCCTGGCTGCGGCCGGCCGGGCCCCGCGCCCTCCGCATTGTCCTCGGGGCCGGAGGGGTTGCCGCGGGGCGGGGCGGGGCGGGTGCAAGCGAAGGTTACGGCTGGCTGCCGGAGTGACAGGCCCCGAAGTCGCCGCCGCTCCCGGCCCGAGCTCAGGCCCGGCTGCGGCTGCGGGGTCCTCGCCCCTAGAACCCTGGCTCCGGCTGCAGCGTGGAGGTCCAACCGTCGCCCTGGAATGTGGCCCGGGGCGTGCGGGGCGCAGGTGACAGGGCTGGTGAGCCCTTGGGAGCAGAGCGGCCCCCGAGCCCGAAGAACCCGCGATTCTTTCTTTTAGCACCTTCCAGTTGTGCTTTTCTCTGCGCAAGCTTTAAAGACTTAAGGCAGGAGAAAGTAGAGGACGGAGATGAGTGGGGAGAGGGTTGAGCGACCCTTGGGGGTCATGGAACAAAATGTCACTGGGATTGCTTGCTTTGCCTCACGTGGCCCAAGTTCTTAAGAATGGGTTTTGCACTTTAGGGGGCTTTGCTTGTTTAAAAAATGGTAGGTGATGGAGGAGGAGGGTACAAGCCGCTTTGGTAATAGATGACGCTGGGGGAAAAGGCTGTTGTTACGCAGTGAAACCCCCAAGCTGGATTTCTGTGCGCTGTCGGACCCGTTCAGAACACTCTGACCGTTTCATAGACCCCGAGTTTAAAGGAAGAAAAAAATACCTGTTACTGCACCTTGAAGGTCAAATATTCGCCTGTCAGTTACTTTGGATTGAACCATTTGTAAATAGGTCTTGGGATCTTTGTTTAATTTCTTCATGTCAAAAACTCTTTCTGACTTTGTGCCTTTGAGTTCCTATAGGCCAAACTCCTTGCAATTATATTTTATATCTGACAGGCAGGTGATGCACGCATGTAATCCCACCTTCCAGGGAGATGAGGCAGGAGGATGGCAAGTCTGAGACTAGCCTGGCTAATTTAGTGAGTCCCTGTCTCAAAATAAAAATTAAAAAAAAAAAAAAAGGTTAAAAAACACAAATGGCGCACTCCTCTAATCCTAGCACTCGGGAGGTTGAGGCAGGATGATTACAGTTAGTTTGAGGTCAACTTGGGCTATAGTGAATTCAAGGCCAGCCTGAATTACAGAGCAAGACCCTGGCCCCCACAAAATAAGAAAAAAAATCTTAGCCAGGCGTGATGGGGATACTTGTAATCCTAGCTCTCAGGAGGTGAGGCAGGAGGATCCCCTGGGCTACAAAGTCAGTTCAAGGCCAGCCTGGGTAAATAGTGAGACCTCATCTCAAAAAACTAAAAGAAAAAACCCCACTTATATTCTAGATTCAACTGTCATGCTTGATAAATAATGATTTTTCAGTTACTCAAAAAGGAGCTTACTCCTGCAGTTCAGAGTATCACAGTTTTTACGTAAATCCTTTCTTTTTTTTTTTTAAGACATGGTCTCACTTTGTAGCCCAGAATGGTCTCGGACTTATGGCCATCTTACTGCCTCAGCCTCTGCAGGGCTGGTATTACAGGTGCGCACCACCATGCCCAGCTGTAAATCTTTTAATCAGCCCTGAGTAGAAGCTCACACCAGAAATCCTAGCACTTGGAAGGCTGGGGCAAGAGGATGGGTCTCAATTTGAAGCCAGGCTGAACTACATAGTGAGACCCTGTCTCAAAAAACCAAAATAAATAAATAACTGTTTTACTGGATTTTTTTTCCACTTGTGAGGGAGGTGGTGGAGCCACTGAGCTAAATCTCCGGCCCAATAAATGACTATTTTAAAATAAAACTTTTACTGGTTAATTTTTTAAAACCCCAAAATCTGTTTTAATCAAGAAAATGCCCATTTGACCACTGAAATATTGAAGGGAAAAGAGAGCATTGCTCTTTATTATATTTATTATATTATATTCTTTATTATATTATATTTAGACCCATAGAAAGTGAAAGTTGTTTTTTTGGAGGTGGGTGTCTTGAGGCAGGGTCTGGTTATGTATTCCAATCTTGGGTTTTTTTCCCCCTGTAACTGAGAATGGAACTCAGGACCTCGCTGAGCTAAATCCCCAGCCCTTATGTATTCCAGTCTTGCTATGATTCTCCTGTCTCAATCTCTTAAGTCCTGGGACTACAGACTGTACCACCATGCCTACGCTTAGAAAGAGAACCAGAGGAAGAGTACTTTGTCTTGGAAAAGAAGGTACAGGTCTTTAACCTGACAGTGTGTGGCAACTATATTATTTTAAGGATAGTTGTTACATAAGCTGAAGAAAATTAAATGAAGTTTTAGCACTTCTCTAGTGGTAATATAACTTGCTCTACTGGTTTTTTTTTCCCAAGTACTTACTGTCCATTTTGTACCTTATTTTCAAAAGCAATGAGATTGTTTTTTATTTGGCATTGTGTAGAAAAGTACTGACCCTGAGCTTTGTCCCGGTATTGGTGGCATTTGACAGAGTGGCCGATGGCATCTGAGCCTGTGTGGTCATCTGTGAAGTGAGAAGAATGGGGACACCTGTCCCCCAGGACACTTGGAGATGACAGTGAGGGAGGTGTGAAGTACTTTGTGATCACTGAAACCCTTCAGAGTGCCGGATTAGTGCTTTACTGCTAGCGCCTCAGATTCCTCTGCTTCTCCAGGCTCTGAGCTCTGTCTTCTGCTTCTCCTGCCCCTCCTGTCCACACTGCCAACTGCCAGAGTCTTGTCCTAAGCATACACCGGCTTTGTCAGCCTCTGTTCAAGCTATCTTCCAGGTTTCCTGTGGCTCGACGCTCAGAACACACACACTACTGTAGTCTATACTGTGTTCTCTTAGAGATTGTTTATATTAAACTCTAGTTGTGGTGCCCATGTTAGTACGGTACCCAAACACCTTCTCAGGGGTTTCATGCAAGTGCTCAGATGTTTACCAAGTAAAATCAGAGTCTCTTAGCCACCTTGAAGAATATGCTGCTGTCATGAAGTATTTTTAATAACAAGCATCAGAGTACCAACTGCCGGGGCCGGAGATTTAGCTCAGTGGTTTCGCCGCCTGCTACGCAAGCGCAAGGACCCGAGTTCGATCCCCGGTACCAAAAAAAAAAAAAAGAGAGAGAGAAAACCTACCAATATCTAGATGTGGATAGAATTTTTGCATATGTCTCCTAACAGTGGAAAGTTGAAGTCATCAAATTTTTTGTGCATATTATTTTTCAGCAAAGCAAATGTTTTCACTTTAATCTTACATCTTGTAATTATTCACTAAGGAATTGGGCTCCTCTGGTATTTGGAATGGATGGTGAAAATATTTCTCCCATCTTCAGAACTTTCCTGTCACTAGTTTTTCTCCACATCCCTCTGTCTCTTCTGTTTTTTGGGTTTTTTTGTCTCTTGTTTTGTCAGCAGTTTTAATTTGAGACTTCAAAAGTGAGCAGGGTGTGGTGACACACACCTGTAATCCCAGCACTCAGGCTGAGATAGGAGAATCTCCTGGAAGCCTGGGCTACCTAGTGAGTTCAAGGCCAGCCTGGACCACATATCAAGACCCTGTCTCAAAAAACCCAAAATAAATAGTCATCTGTTGTTTCTAAAATAATATGGAAGCTGGGCGTCCTGTAATCCCAGCATTAAGGGAGGACAAGGCAGGACAATCACAGATTGAAGGCTTGCAAGGCAATTTAGCTGGACTGCCTCAAAATAAATAAAGGAATTCTCTATCTACAATGACATAACATATTGAAGGCTGTTTAACTTATATTGGCTATAGTTTCTATTACAAGTTTTTTTCATCATTGGAAATTACATATTCCTGGGAGGCTGAGGCAGGAGAATTGAAAGTTGGAACTCAGCCATGGCAGCTTAGCAAGATTCTGTCTCAAATAAAAAAGGGCCAGAGACGTACCTCTGTACAAAGGCCCTGTGTTCAATCCCCAGCCCCCCCCATCACATATTTCTAATAAATCTCCTAAAACCTGCTCCAAAGATTTGGCATGATAGGATTCCCCATGTGAATAAAGTTGCTAATATTGTTAGTATCTGTATCAGAAAAGAAACGTAGCTGGGCTTGGCAGCCTGGGCTACATAGTAAGTTCAAGGTCAGCCTGTACTACTCAGTGAGACCCTGTCTTAAAAAAAGAAAAGGAAACGAAAGGCATTAGGATAATTAGAGGATTAGTAACTTCAAAAACTGCTTTTGGATAGCTGGAGTAGTGAGTGAATATGAGTTCTGAGAATGCGGGTGCTGTATGCATGTGCAGCTCTAGTGACGGTAGACACGGGGCACTGTATAATATGCCTGTAGTCTTTGTGGTGTGGGGGTGTCACTAAGTAAATATTAAATAAAGTAAGTCATCTATGTGGAGGAAAAACACATGGAGATAAATAAGTTTAAAGGAATATGCCTCAGTGGATTTTCAAGGTGTTTTGGTAGTATAGTATGGTTGTTATTTTAATTATATAGGGGAAAGTTAAAAAGAATAGGGAAGGATTTCTTTGCCCTTTCAGCCAGGAGTTTGTTTCTAACTCAATTGCAAGTTGCAGAGCACTTTTGGAATCTTAATAGCTAGTGCATAACTATTGAATAATTTTAATAGGTAGTGCATAACTTTCAAAATTGTTGGTCTGATTTAGTCAGACCCTTTGTTTTTTTCCCCCTTCTTCCTTTACCAGCCTTTTCTTAGATATCTGATTAGTATTTTGCTCCTTATTCACGTTTTCCTTGAAGATTTTCAGAAAAAGTTGAAATTCAATAA